GTTGACTGTTTTTCACTAGTTTTGCATTTGGCTAGGGTCAGTGTCACTACTGGTAGCATGAGGCAATACCTGGACCCTACACAGGTTGCACAGGCAGTCCAACTCCTCCAGGATGGCACATCAATATGTGCCATTGCCAGAAGGTCTCCAAGCACAGTCTCAAGAGCATGGAGGAGATTCCAGGAGACAGGCAGTTATTCTAGAAGAGCTGGACAGGGCTGTAGAAGGTCCTTAACCCATCAACAGGACCGGTATCTGCTCCTTTGTGCAAGGAGGAACTGGCGCCCTGTGCTTTTCACAGAGAGCAGGTTCATCCTGAGCACATGTGACAGACATGAAAGGGTCTGGAGAAGCCGTGGAGAACGTTATGCTGCCTGTAACATCGTTCAGCATGACCGGTTTGGTGGTGGGTCAGTGATGGTCTGGGGAGGCATATCCATGGAGGTACGCACAGACCTCTACAGGCTAGACAATGGCACCCTGACTGCCATTAGGTATCAGGATGAAATCCTTGGACCCATTGTCAGACCCTACGCTGGTGCAGTGGGTCCTGGGTTCCTCCTGGTGCACGACAATGCCCGGCCTCATGTGGCGAGAGTATGCAGGCAGTTCCTGGAGGATGAAGGAATTGATACCATTGAATGGCCCCCACGCTCGCCTGACCTAAATCCAATAGAACTTTATCCAATAGGGCATTATGTTTCGGTCCATCTGACTCACGTCAGACTGTCCAGGAGTGATACCCTGGGCCAGATCTCGGAGGAAATACCGTCGTTGTCAGGCATGCATACAAGCACGTGGGGGCCATACAAACTACTGAGTACCATTATGAGTTGCTGCAATGAAATTTCAGCTAAATGGTCTAGCCTGCTGCATCATTTTTTCACTTAGATTTTTGGGGTGTCTTTGAATTCAGCCCTCTGTAGGTTGATCATTTTCATTTCCATCAAACCATGTGGCATCCTTTCGTTCCTAACACATTACCCAGTCCATATCAGTATAGATATCCAGCATGATATTTTTCCCCATTGACATCTGATGTGTTTTCAAAGTGCTCCTTTAATTTTTTTGAACAGTGTATTTTATTCCTGTTTGAGGTTTAGGTGAAATACTACTATTAATAAGGTCCACTCCTTTAGCTTTATTTGAGATGGCATTTTATGATTTGAAACATTGAAAATATTTTGTAAAAAAAAAAATTCTAATCTTTCTTAGATTCCCATAATTCCACATTTCTCATGGTTAAAGCCTTGTGTAGCAGCTAAGGACATTGTCTACATTGGACTCAGAGATGTAGACCCAGAAGAACAGTAAGTCTGTCGATTCTACAAAATAATTTATGCATATCACTATTTCATGATTCGTTATGAAGTCCAAATCACACACTTACATCACAGTTATATCCTGAAGCACCTTGGAATCAAAACGTTCTCCATGACAGAGGTTGATCGGCTTGGAATAGCAAAAGTAATGGAGCAGACGTGTGATCACATGTTTTCAAAGTACGTGTGTGAATTATTTTCTATTTTTCATGACCTAATCTTCATAAGAGTAAATATGTATTGAAGCATTGCTACTCTTTCTGGATCAGGGTGAAAAAACCCATCCACCTCAGTTTTGACATTGATGCACTGGACCCATCGGTCTCACCTGCAACAGGCACACCTGCAGCGGGAGGACTGACCTACAGAGAGGGCATTTACATCACTGAACACATCTGTCAGACAGGTGAGAACATGAGGATATGTCCATCTCTAAATGGTAAGAGATTTCTAAAACTTCCAGGCTAACAAACTGGCAGCTATTTGGCCTTTCTGAAATTATTAAAGCGGTCATATGATGCGATTTCAATTTTTCCTTTCTCTTTGGAGTGTTACAAACGCTTGGTGCATAAAGATCTGTAAAGTTGCAAAGACTAAAGTCTCAAATCCAAAGAGATATTCTTTATAAAAGTTAAGAGTCAACCCAGCGCATTTTATGGAGGACTGTTTCCTGATCCTGGAAGAGTAGACTACAATGCAGGCTGTCAGACTGTAAGTACGTTTTTTATATTTAAAGGATTTGCCACTGATGATGCAAACGCAAGTTTTTAGGGCAATGTAGAGTAGCGCTTGTTGTTTGTCATTTCTCCGATCACAAATGCAGACATGGTTTTATGTTTACACGGCGCGATGCAACGCAACGCGTAAAAAGACAGTAGAAGTCATTATAATCCATAATTATGTCCCCACTGGATGCAACAAATGCCTCATTTACAATGGGCTTTAATGTTTATGTCTCGTCGCTCCGGCCGGACAGGGCATCACAGTATGGTAAGGGACGTAACATTTCCGTCACATGCTTGAGGTATTCGGCCAATCACAATGCTCTGGATAGCTGGCCAATCAGAGCACACCTCGCTTTTCAGACCGATGAGCTTTATAAAAATCGACGCGTTTCAGAAAGGCGGGGCATAGAGGAGAAACAATCATTTTTTTAACCTAACAAAAGTTTTTTGAACCTTAAACCGCATAAACACATTTCATTACACCAAATACACAAAATAATGTTCTTTTCAGCAACATCATATGATCCCTTTAACCAAAAATTCAAGCACACTTGTCTGACGAACAAATGATTTAGCTCTCCCTTGTGTCAGTTTCAAAACAACAACCCAGTTAATGAATAAATATAGAACATTTTCTGTTTAAATATTTTTAGTAGAAAATATCAAGTAAAATAAAAGTTGAACCAATGTTGTGTGCATCTCAGTAAAGTGAATTATAATAAATCTACATTATGCACTCTAGATCAGCTATTAAAAAGCCATATTAACATTTCTTTGCTTGGCTATTGCTAAATGAGCAAATTTCATTATCATAATCCTTCTTGGTCTTTCTTAGGCATGTTGACATGAATGTATGTTTTGACTTCCCTCCAGGTCTTCTCTCTGCTGTAGACATGGTGGAAGTGAACCCAAAGCAGGGCAAAACAGAGGATGAAATTAAATCAACAGTAAACGCTGCTGTGGATCTGTTACGGAGTTGCTTCGGACGGGTCCGCGAGGGGTCTCATGAGCCCGATTACCAAATTCCAAATCCATAAATCACAGGCTTTATTTTTGTTATTTTGTTTTCTCTTTTTGTTATATTTACTTACTGGCATCATTATTTAGGCCATCATGTAATTTAAATTGAATTTAAAAGGGTAATTTCCATTTATTTTATTCCTGTATAAAAGTGAATTCCAAAGATATATGCAAATTATACCCAGTGTTGTGCAAGTTACTTCCAAACTGTAATACATTATGAATTACTTGTTACAGTTATTTAAAAGTAATTCCTTACCTTACAATATTACTGTCTCAGAATTGTAATGCGTTACATGACTCCTGTATTACCTTTGAGTTACTTTCACCAAAATAACTACAGAAGAAGTAGAACTTAACATTCTAAAA